GAAATATACACATTCTCAATCAAGTTATAGCGATTATTGAGAATTTTTTCTTTTGATGTTTTTTAATCTTTGGAGCTAATTGTTCTACCACTATAAAGATGCATACCATACAATTTCCTTTTCCAACTTCTGAATTATTCCCTCTAATGTTATAAAATTTGTCTCATACCGTACCCTTTAGAGATTTATCAAGATATATAATAATTGACAGCGAATCAAATCCAACATATATTACTAACCTCATTTAAGAATCTACGTCACTAAGTTGTGGATGATCAATTAGAACATGTATTGCACATATAAAAACTTTCAGATAGTAAAGATTTGGCTTTTGGCATACGCTAATTGTAACGTCTGAGTACATATAGATAAGCTGCTGGTCTAATGCGTATATGTGACTGATGTATTAAGTTGGTGGAATATTTTTATTAATCTTTAACTACCTTCAATTGTAAGAGGTGATTTATATTTATAATAGGCAAACACAACTAACCCCCAGCTAATTAATTATCTAACTCTAGTGGCTAGTTACAAGGCTCTTTTTCTAAAAAAAATAAAAAATAAAACCCTACACCAAATTCTTCCTGACTAAAATGAATTCATCCTCGAGTTTTAGGTAGTCAATGAAAATGAATATGGGGCATGATAATCATATAGGTCCATCACATTGATGGTAGGGTTGATGAGGAGATAAGAGGATATATTAATCTTGTAGGCATTTTCACCAATCTTGTCAAAGACCTTGAAAGACCAATCTTCTTATGGGTTAATTTGTTATGTGATCCAGTATTTTGGCAAATGAATCGTCACCAAGTCGCTTATTTCAAATGATTCCAGACGTTTGTGAGCATACACATGTTGCTTGTACTTGGTATTTGCTTGCTCGAGGTGTTCTTCCACCTATCTGTGTAGTTCTTGAATTTGTTCAACCATGTCTTCAACCTCTAAACTGAGATCGATGGTAAGAAATATTGGTAAGATGAATCATTATAATGGTCATTAAACTCTTTTAAATGGTGACTTCTCAGTCGATCAGTTAACTTTGCTCATGTGATTGTTGGCGAATTTAGCTTGAGCCAAGGATAAGTCCCACTATTTTGGTTTATCACCACTTAACAATGGATTAAATTTTTCAAAGTACAATTAGTGATCTCCGTTTGGCCATCCGTTTGAGGATGACCTCTTGTGCTAAGTCAAAGGTTAATTAGACTCTTGAAAAATGTTATTTAATATACTATTTAGCCTATTAATTGGCAAGAAAAGAGAGAGCATAATTATGCAAACCAGAAAATGATGATATTTTACTATCTGACGCTTCATACAAATGCGAAAAAAATTAACAATGGATTTGAGAGACTTTCTCATACTAGATTAAAAGAAAAAGTGATTGTGTCAAGCGATGCTGGAGTACACTTTCCATTACTTATGGGTTAGAGATCGATTCGCTGCCCTCTTAAATGGATGATTGTTTAAGACGTATCATGTTTAACTATATAAATAGTGCAAAAGAAACAAAATGCTTAACTTACACTTTGATTCGTAATTTGAAATTAATTATTACGAGACCGTAGTGAACTTACAAACATTGTCGACCCAATCTATAGCATTAGAGTATCTAATCTTCCTAAATAAATCCATCTGACCAAAGTTCTCTCCTCTTTGTTCTTTCTTCATTTGAAAATACGTAAGTATTAATAATCACAAGTAATGATGTACAAAAAGAAAAATATTATTGCACTGTACCTTCTCTTTTACAATAATAGCAAACGCCTTCGACCCAGCTCGATCGGTTGAACGGGAATTGCGACCTATTTTGTTTGTTGGTCTGATATTTTTTTATATAAAGTATGCAAAATAAATATAAATATTAAGTACCTTCCACTCATCTGTGTTCCACTATCGCATAGCATATTCCAATCTTATATTCTTGCTAACAATCGCTAATTCATTTTTTTCGTTAAATTCTAAAATATTTTGTAGACAAAAATAGTCTTGTAACCAATTAAGTTTATACGCATCATTTTAGGGATTTAGGATTTTTAACTAATAGCAAAAATAACGGGCTTTCATTTTAGGAAATCAATTCTATCTAATTAAATGTGAAATTTAAACAATTAACTTAAATCTAATATAAAATTGATAATAACAATTTGAGAGTTGATTTAAGAAAAAATTATTAAAAATGTGTTGAGGTAGATTTTGAAATTTACCCCTCTAAAATTCCAAAGATTATTACTAGGTAAATGATAAAATTTACTTCTCACATTTGAGTTGAGTTAGAGAACTTAGGGTTTTAGGAGTCTCACCTTATTCCCACCTTTTGGTCTCACGCAACTTCATATGTCCCACAGCCATCGTCTTCCTCACGAAGCAGATCCGCAAGCCGCCATCCCGCCACTCACCTTCAAGGCCACCATCTCGTTTTGCTGCTCACCTCACGAAGCAGATCCGTGCGCCGCTCACCTTCACGCCGATGTCCACGAACCAAAACCAGACTGTCGCCGCCGCACCCAACTGCTGCCACCCTCCTCGTTGGCCGCAACACGTACCATATCTACTTGATGCGTCACGTCCTAAACTAGATCTACCGTCCCATCGCCCGACCAGATTTGCCCAAGGCCGATACGATCCACCGACCGCCCAAGACCAGATCCACCTACCACCGCTTTGATATGTTTCCGATCTGCCACCCAACTTCCATCTTCTAGCAACTGTTCGAGGAAGGTAAGACTCTTTGTTCAGATTTTGCGTATTTTAGGGGTATTTAAAAAGATATTTTTTGTTTTCCTATATTTTAAGGTATTTAAAAAAATACAAGTGTGAGACCGACATATGTCTTTTGTTTATAATTAGATCTGAGAACTATATATCTACAACTACAACAGACTTACTATATTTATATAGTTTAAATTCTAAATAGTATCTATAGATAAGGTAAAAGTTAGAGGAGGAACATTTCAACAATGACTAAAAGCTACTGGTATAACATGACATTCAAAGGAATCGTGCAAAATAAACTTAGAAAGTGAAAAAGATGTATAGATACAGTAGTTTATATATTTCTTGTTTATTAATTTTTACAGTAATATTTACAAATTAGATTCACTGAGCTAACTATACTCGTATATTTCAGGAAAATGAAAGGGTCTCAAGATAGTTGAGGAAGAACGTGTTAGTGAGGTAATTATTGGTATATACATTAATTGACAATCTACTTATGATATTTGAGTTGTATAGTTGTATGTACATGTATTGACTTTCTTATTTTGTTAATTCTTGAATTGGTATATACATGTATTGACATAATTGAGTTTCATGGTGATATATACGTGTATTGAATTCTAATTTTGATTTTTCTTTAATTGGTATATACGTTTATTGACTTTTAATTTTGATAAATTTTCTAATGTTTTAAAGGACAATACAAAGTCTAATGAAGAGAATGAAAGAGTGAATAATGAATCCACCGATGAACATAAGAAAAATAACTCATGGTCAAAAGAAGTTTAAGAAACTGAATATGATGACGTAAACGCCCAAAGACTACAAATTTAAGAGGCATCACCTATTTTCCTAATCGTTTTGATTTATGGGTTGTTAGTCTTTGATTTTTTTAATTTACTTTTGTTGTAGATGATTTATTAAATGATAAAGAAATAGGAAAATAAGAATACAAATAATCTGTGACAGCATATACTCCTTAGTGGTTAGGTATATATACTAATTGATGCAAATATGTATATATACATTAAAGAAGATAAAGTAGAACAATTGGAGAACGACGAGACGAGAGATGAATCGTTGTACACAAATCATTTAAATTAACTAAAATACAAAACAAAGTAATTAAAATAATTAAGTTGAAATCCCTTGAATGTAGGAAAATTATTTTGAATTCAAAACAAAGTTTGTTAGGTGGTTGAATATAAGAAAAAACCAAAAACACATAGAAAAGGGTATTGTTGGAAAATTATGTTTTTTTGTAAAATTCCTAAAATACCCTTTAGCCATTTGTGCAAAATTTAAAACTAATAGACATTTTTTAAAACGGGTGGCAAAATTTAGCCATCCACTTAAATTTTCCTTTTGACTTTTGGCTCAATTTGAGTTAATGTCAGCGTGTAAATAAACCAACATGCAAGAATGTGATCACATTTTCTATTGCGATCAGGGCAAATACATGTGAAGTGATTGAATTAAATGCTCGCACTTGGAAGGAGGTCCTAGAAAGTGACAAGATCGGGTTATAACTGATCTCAAAGAAGAATTCTTATAACATGATACCTTTTATTATTTTGAATGATGTAACAGTAATATCACATTGTAGGTTCATTTCATATTCGACACGACAGATGTTGTCATGATGAAGTTCATTGATCATGTGATGCAAACTAACATCGAAGGAATATAGGGCAACTTTATACAAATTCTAAAAATAACATCCCACACCAAAGATTATTGTTCACAACAATCCACCTGAGCGATTGTTGGCGAGAATATAAATGAGTGGAAGGTACTTAATATTTATATTTATTTTGCATACTTTATATAAAAAATATGAGACCAACAAACAAAATAGGTCGCAATTCCCGTTCAACCGATCGAGCTGGGTCGAAGGCGTTTGCTATTATTGTAAAGGAGAAGGTACAGTGCAATAATATTTTTTTTTCTTTTGTATACCTCATTACTTGTGATTATTAATACTTACATATTTTCAAATGAAGAAAGAACAAAGAGGAGAGAACTTTGGTCAGATCGATTTATTTAGGAAGATTAGATACTCTAATGCTATAGATTGGGTCGACAATGCGAAGGACAGCTAAAGGTGAGCGTCGCAGGTTCTACTAACTTCCAGAAGAATCTTCAAGAGTTTATAAACGCTCTACAATGATTTTTCTCACTTTTCTCTGAAACAAAAATTCTCATTAATCACTCTACAAGCTTTCTAAAACTTTTCAATATAGGGATTGGACATAAATTTATCACAGAGAAATAAAACAAAACTAAACCATTTTAATTGAAGCTTGGATTATCCATATATGGTAATAATTTTGTCTTGTACACCCCCTACACAGCATGCTCACATAAAATTATAGAACAAACAAACATTATGATTTAAATTTATCAATACACAATAAACTCAATGACTTCAAAGAGCTTGGGAGGCTAATTTATCAATCTAGTTGGGCATTGCCAGAAGTTCCTGCGCCTTCTTTTCATAGCCAAAACCATTGGCTATAGAATCATCTGCAGACCAAACAAAGATTCCATGGAGGAGTTTCTCCGCTCTCAGCCTTCGACACGCAGTGAAAAACCCGTTCTCTGCCAACAATCCGCCGCTATCATCGCTGACCAAGCTCGCCAAAACCCTACCACCTTCATAGTTTGAGGTTTGAGCCTTGAAATGTTGGATGAACTGAGGAACTGTGGTGGTTTTATCGTAAGCATAGAATTGGAAATTGACATAGTCTATCAAGTGGCCGTAGCTTCTCCACAAGGCCAAGTAATGGCTCTGAACTTCAGCTTTGTCAAATGGGGCAATGGAAGCAAATGAGATGGCTCCTTTCTTCTTTAGTCTTTTGATCAGCCTTCCGATGCACTCGGCGAATGTGTTGGGGTCGGACTTAAAGTGCTCGTAATCGATGTCGATGCTATCAAGATTGAAGGCGTTTATGAGTTTTGTGAGTGAACGTTCCGCGTTTGAAACCCATGAATCTATAGAAGAAGGTTTGAAATAAGCAAAGCCATTTGGGACAGTGTCTCCTCCAATGCTTAAACCAACTTTCACGTTTGAATGATCCTTTTTAGAAGAAAAAACAATAGAATGAGTGACGACCATGGAGAAATAATTCATGCGTTGGGTTGTAATATTAAGTAAACTTTGGGATCTAATCTAACAAATATTCTAAAAATAAAGCTTGATTATTAATATAAAATTGAACCTAATTAAGTTAAGAGGATTGATCAATATCTATCATTTTTCCAATTAAGATATAATTGAGAAAAGCAATATAATGAATGGAGTACAATTCACGGGTTGGATTGGATTAATTAAAGTTTTCAATCTAGTAAAAAAAAAGTTCTAAATTAGTCCAACAAATTATTCCAATTAAATTATGGACCTTATCCTTTTACTAATTAGGTTGGCATTGGTTAATAATCAAGATTCTATTTTAGAACATATTTGTTAAAAAAAAATGACATAAAGTACTAATATATTAAGAGCTTACCTGTCTATTTTAGTTTTAAAAATTAAAAAATTAAAACGTCATATCAATAAAAATGAGAGAAATAATAACTCGGAGAAGATTGAACGAAGAGAAAAAAACGAGAGAAAGAAACTGGAGAGGGAGAAATCAATTGAACAGAAAAAAAATGTGGTTATTAATAGCTAGCCACGAGAGTTGGAGTGTAAAATAAAGACAAAATTGTTCCACTGATTCCTTTTACTTATTTCTTATTTATTTTTTTTACCAATTTTCCTTCCCACCTACGTGGCTCACTAGTAGCCATTTCTTCTTATCCCATTTTCTAATTTCTCTTTCTTTCTTTTCTTCCTCCAATTATCCTCTTTTTCATTTATCATTTTCTTTGGTTCTCACTCTCCACATTTCTTTTGGATCGGGTAGATCCAGACTGATCCATGTTCACCTCTACATGGTAAACAATAACGTAGGAATTTGAATACAGGACCTCCCGCTACTAGATGAATAAACCACCACTCATCACAAAAATTTAAGCTGATAGGTTGCGTAAATTTAATTTGGATATCTAACCGTACAAACTAAATTCTTTTTAACTAACACAAATTTTAAAATAAGATCGTTTGTTTCTTATACTATAACATATATATTTTACCTTTTTAATGGCGACCACATCGGAAGGATTAAGGTTATGAGAGTCCCAAAAAACGTTGAAAATTCCATTGGTGAAGGAACGGCGGGAGGCATCGAAATCAATGGCGAACGACAGAAGAAAGTGGAACTCAACGTCTGGATTTATTGGAACATCGGAAAATTTAACGTCTTTGAACTCAGCTCCGATGTATTCTCGAAACAACTTCGCCGCCGCGTGCGACGGCGGAAACAGGAGAAGAAGCTGAAGCGCTACCAAAATGAATGCCCTTATTCCACTCCCATCCATTTCCATTTTTTATGCTGTTTTGGAAAGGAATGTGATGTTGGTTTATTTCGTGTTTTGGCTGCTAATTTATTGAAATCATTTGGTCAACTTGCATTTTAAAAAATAAATAAATAATAGTTTTTAAAAAATTATTTGATAGAAACAATCACCACTAAATCCAAACTCTCCCTAACTTATGGATTTAGAAATTAAATTAGTTGGCTATTATATGAAATGAGAAAGAGTGGGTGATATTGCATTTGATTCCAACGCACGATATCATGTTAATTTATTGCTAGACTAAAAAGTTTAAAGCAATATTGTTGATTTACTTGGTATGTGTTAATATTCATGGATTCCAACTCAAAATCAATGGCTCTTCAAGATCATGATTCTCCCTTTTTTTTGACCGGATGCTCGTTTGAGCTTGTTGAACTCTGATATCATATCAGTATTGATGTGGTTTCATCTCAAGACCAATTGACAATGAGATGAGTAGCTCATGTCTATTATAAACATGTGTATGGTTACTTCTTTTATMAATGTGAGATCCTTAACATGCCCCCTCAACATCGTGACTTTTCTGGCTCATCGATCTTTGCTAAATCTTTTTTTTTTTATGACCAAATGCTTGTTTGAGCTCCATCAATATTAATAGTTTGGCTAAATATAGGTTTTAATCTTTAGTGTTTTGAACGAGGTTTTTTCAATTTAGTTCTTATAATATTATTTAAAAACGTTTCGTTTTAGTTTCTTAGGTTTTGATATATTTTTAATTCAGTATACCTTAGCATTTGGTGAAAGTTAAAAATAGTTTGTTTGGGGGTAAACATACCCAAGACACGTGGAGGACCCTTATTAGTGTTTGGAGAAATCAAATAAAAAAAAGGATTGTTTAGGTCCACCTCGGCCCCGCCGAGGAGACCGGGTTTTGCCCGTTATAAAAGATGAAGTATGGGCACCAAGGTTCGGCCTGACTGGGGACCGACCTGCTCGGAACCCGACAGGTCCGACATGAAAAAAAAGGGCTTCATTTCACGCTCAGGTATCGAATCTCACCTCGAACTAAATAAGGAGTCCGATCTATACTGACTTGAGCGTCGGAGTGCTTACCCTCTTGTGCAGGTCCACTCTAGTGTTCAGGTCGGAACCGGAGACCGGGTTCAAGCTTGATTCCTGAAGAACGTTGTGCAAATTCCTGCATAAACATTTGGCGCCGTCTGTGGGAAGGACATCTTAAGTCATCCCGATCTAGAAAATATACGCAAGAATGGTGCATCTAGCAAACTCTGCCAATACGACAGAATGGAGGGGTGTGAACGCTGATAATGGCACTCAGCAAGACCTCGACGCAAGAATGGTCGAGGACCAGGTCC